GTTGCCAAATGATATTAGAGTATGGGTTGTACATTTCATCACCTGGTTGGTGGTAATAGCGGCAGGTTGCCGAATAATTTTGGAGTACTGGGCGTACTTTTGATCATCTGGTTGGTGGTAATAGCGGCGGGTTGCCGAATAATTGTGGAGTACTGGGCGTACTTTTGATGACCTGGTTGGTGCTATTTTAGGCTTATGGGCCTTTGCTCTCCACACAACATTCTAGCCCATTTATTTTGGGCTTTGCCGTTTTTTTTTTTTTTTTTTTTTTACTATTATTACCCTCTGATGGGGTTAATACAGATGTCTCTGAAAGATAAAAAATAAATTACATCACTCAAAACAAAGGTTTCGACAGTTGCAGATCGTTGGTGCGTACTGCACCTACTGCGTACTGGGTTGTTGCAGATCTTTTTCCATGTGCGTATTCCAGTGGCTTCTTCAGAAAAGTGGGAACATGTATGATGAAAGTTTTCTTTTTCAAAAGTTGATGGCATCTTCTGCTTTACTTTTGTTTTTGCTTTTCTGCTTTCTGCAATTATCTCCGATTGAGTAGTGGGTTGTTTCATCATTCTCTGGTGGTGGTTTAGAGAAGTAATAATGATAAAGCAAAATAATAAAGAAAAAAAAAGGGTCTTATCTTGATTTGTTTGTGTTGTCCATGTCGGCTTTTCCAGAAAAGCTTCTTTAGTCTCTCTCTTCCTCCAAATTTTAGAAAAGCACTGATAAAGCTTATGGCTTGTGAAGCTCAAATGCAACTTGGATTGCTTTAGAAAAATCGGCATTTAATACAGCATTTCTAGCCCCTGGTTCTTTAAAACACCTTCCTCATGTATGGGCCCGGCTTTACATTAGCACATGGTGGGACTGGGGGATTGAAATCCAGAAAAGACCGATTGCTCAGCAGTGTCCCCAGCTGTTAAAGAAGAAATGAACGAGTTCGCGGCAGTTTTGGGTGCTGAAGGCGAGAAATTGGTGGTAGCAGCAGCGGCAGAATCCATCTTCTTCTCAGCACACCCAATACCTTTTGTCAGCGCAACCGGAGTGGTTTTTAGATGACGATTTTTACGGCAGCGGCGAAAGGTGAACCACCGGCGTCAGACAGTAAATCTTGAACGCAGTAGATTGTTGAGAACAAAAGGTTGCTCTGTTCTTTGATCCCGGGGTTCTGCAATTGAAGATATCGGAATTTGGGTTACCGGAGCTTTCCGGGACAGGGCGTGGCCGATTCTTCCTCTGTCCAACAATAAATGACCTTCCTGAACTTGGTTACTGCCATTTCCGTCACCGCTTTATACTCCGTTGCATCTTCCGTGTTCGACGACACGGACTGGTGATGGATCATTATACTCCAGCCCCCTGTCAATGCACTCGGTGTGGAACACGTGGCAGAGACAATTCTAAGTTGTTTATCAGATACAATAATGAATCACATCTCAAAATCCCAGGTACTCTCAGCAGTTAATTTTGGCATCTTTCGTTCCTCCGCCAAATTGACAGATGCTGAAAACTGAGAAAAGCCATTGATTTTTTATCTCCTCGACCACTCCAACCCCAACAACATCATCATAAACCATTTGGGCCACCGCGAGATCCCACAAATTCTTGCCCAAATCGCACGATGGCTCAAACATCGTGGAGTGAGCCTCTCTGGTCGTGGCACCAAAACTTCAACAGATAGATCGAAGAAGGCGTTGGGACGTTGGAGATTTGATTGAGATAAAATGAGAAGAAGCACGACGATGGGCACGCGGACGAGAGCTGGTCCTTCAACCTCTCCTAATCGCAGCTGAGGCCGGCCTTGTTGGGACAGTTGACGGTGAGGACGGAGGGCTCATCAGGAGCCTTCCTCGGCTTGATAACGACGATGTCGTCGCAGGGAATGCCCATGGCGGAATCAGGGTAATCACGAAACTACCCCTCTTTCAGTTGGGTGTGTTGATTGATGTGTCAGGCTGAGCGATGAGGGGACAAGATAGAGACGAGGGACATGAGAGATATATAGAGATGTTGTTGTAGCTGCTTTAGCATAGACAACCAAAGACCAAGATTTGATCAGAAACCCATTAAAATTCTCCGATTGGAAAGACCATCGATTTCGAAAAAATGCCGATTAGGAGACCCAAGTGAGGATTTGATCCAACACGCCATGGGAGGGCATGAAGCTAAAGAATTCGTGCTTATTTTTGTTTTTGCTTGAGAAAAATCTGTAAAGTTGTTGAAAAAGTTGTAGAGAAAGACATGGAAGCCATCATTTTTTCTGGTGAGCACTTTGGAACTCGGTGGAAATATGAGGACATGGTGGCGTGGATGGGCTGCAAAAGCAGGTGAATTTGCAGCTGAAATCTTTGGTTTCCGTGTTGACTGACTGAGAGAGGAGGCAGAGGTGGTTGAAGATCTGCGAAAGTTTTCTGGAGAAGCCCAAAGAGTGAGGTTTTTGGGTTCTTGGATTTCTGCAGATTCACGGTGGAGGTGAAAAAATGAAAGAGAACCGACATAACTTTTCGTATCGATTACCACAGACGGCGCCAAATGTTGATGCACAAAATCAGCGAGGACTTTTGTACAACAGAAAGTGTCAGGTTTGTGACCTTCGCTTGGTTGCTTCGATCACTAGTGAAGATAAGTACGTAAATGAATAGGGACAGAGAAGCAAACACAAGATGTACGTGGTTCACCCCAAGGTTTGGGCTACGTCCACACTGATTGTATTGTATTTCTCTGTTGAAGAGGGAGAGAGAGAGCTTAGAGCTTAGGGGGTGTGAGGAAGCTTAGGGTTTGTGAGGGTGAGGATGCCCTTTTATAGAATAAGGGCTCCTCCCCTAATTACATATTTGCCCCTTCCTTTATTACATAATTACATTTAAGTCCCTCGAGTATTTATACGAGGTCTAAATACGAGGCCCTAAATATGGTATAAACACATGCTATGTTTGCATGGTTCTGAATTTGATGTAAAAAATAATAAAATTTATGTTGTATGTAATTACTAGATTGTCCATATTTTTTATTTTTGTTCAATTTTAGTAAGAAAATTAGAATGAATAATTTCTTAAAATTTTGGTAGGCAAACATGATTTTAATAATAAGTAGTTTAGATAACGAGACAATCATATTACGGGGTGGTTTGGGAGTGAGGTGCTTAAAAAAAAACCACCCATGAAAAAAAGCTGTAAGGGTTTTAGGTGTTTGGTAAACTGAAAAAAAAGGCTTATTTTGGAAGCTGCTGTGAGAATAAGCTGAAATCAAAGGAAAAAAGCTGAAGCTGCTATTTGCAGCTTTGGAAAACCGATTTTTTTTCAAAGCACACGGAACTACAATGCTCATTTAATGAAAAGACCCACTATCAGACTGTTTTTTTTTTCTTTTCCAAAAGCACTTTTACAAAAAAGTTTACCAAACACTCTGCTGATTTATTTCACAGCCGCTTATTCTCACAGCAGCTTTTTTTCAAAGCACAGTAATACCAAACCAGCCTTACATTTAGCAAGGTAACTCGCTACTTACTACTATGGTTTAGAGGTATTCCTTTTTACTGGTATGTAAAATGTTATAAGTTCGATTTTTACCAAAAACGAATTTGAATCATATTATTGATATTCCATTGTGATAATTAATTTGTCCCAGTAAATAGCTCTTTCCCTCCTTTATATTAAAGGAAAACTAATGAAAATGGCTTGAAAATTTTGAGTTTTAATGATAAGGACAAAACAAATGGTAAAGTGAATAGTACCAGGATTGACTTTTTAGTGTAAAAATGTGGTTTTTCGTTAAAGTGAACAGTACTGGGTGTTTTTCGTTAAAGTTCCCTTATATTAATCGTTACCATATAATTAGCTTGTATGTTGATATATATATATATATTGAACTACTATAACCAAGGGCTGTCTGTGGCGGGACTCCTAAAAACAAAACCGTACCGTAAATCGAACTAATCAGGCACTTAGGGCTGGTTTAGTATTGTTGTGCTTTGAAAAAAAAGCTGCTGTAAGAATAAACGGCTGTGCTGTGAGAATAAGCGGCTGTGAAATAAATCAAATTGAGTGTTTGGTAAATTTTTTTTTGTAAAAAGTGCTTTTGAAAAAAAAAAAAAAACAATCTGATAGTGGGTTTTTTCATTAAAGGAGCACTGTAGCTTCGTATGCTTTGAAATAAAAACCATTTTTCTAAAGCTACAAATAGCAGCTTCAGCTTTTTTCCTTTAATTTCAGCTTATTCTTACAACAGCTTCCAAAATAAGCCTCTTTTTTTTCAGTTTACCAAACATTTAAAACCCTCCTTTTTTTTTTCATGGGTGGTTTTTTTTTAACACCCCTTAGAGCAGCTCCAGCGGGAGCATTTGCTCGGGGGACAATGGATTAAACAGTGGGATGTTGCCCGGTGGACATGCTCCAGCGTTTGGGAGCCCGAGGGACAGGCCAAGCCCGAGCGACAGGCCCGGTAGCGATTGCCAGCCCGAGAGCCCGAAGGCCATGTGACGCAAGGCTGACGTCTGGGCGACGTCAGCCATCATCTCCTCTGCAACGATTGAGATCCCCTTCTAAATTGCCCGGATCCAAGTGAACAACCACAGCTTCTTCCACGAAAAAGGTGGGACAGCCGTGGACTCGTCGTCGACGGCATCGTCGAAGATCAGGATCTTCTCCCGCGCCTCGAACGCGACCTCCTCCTCGTCGTCCCATGTCGACGACGGCAGCGACAGGGACTGCGGCTGCGCAGCAGGCAGTTGGCTTCGTCATCGTCTGCGCCGTCTCGCAGCTTAGTTGTGGAGATAGTGTTGGATTCCTTTATAATATTAATATAATTAATAATATAATATTAATTTATACAAAGTAAATAATATAATATTAATTATAAATAAAAAAATACTAATATTTTATTACCAATTGCAGGGCTATTCAGTGCAGGGTAGAGATGCAAAAAGCAATTGCCAGGAATGCACTGTTCATTAAGGGCAGTTACTGTTCAAGATTAAATAGTGAATAGTCGAGGGCTCCTGCACTGGAGTTGCTCTTGAGTCTCTTCGCTTCCCCTTTCTCCAACTTCTAGGGCTTTCGGAAGCCAAAAGGAATCCGCGCCATATCCTCAGTATATAGAAGAAGAAGATCATGCCCGGGCCCACCTTGGAGATGGAACCAGTGGAGCCACAGTCGCTGAAGAAGCTCAGTCTCAAATCCCTCAAACGATCCCTCGATCTCTTCTCCCCCGCCCATGGCGAACTCCCCCCTCCCGACCCCGAGAGGTACCGCCGTTGCCTTTAATTTCTGTACTTATTAGGGTTTGTGAAATGATTGAGTTGAATTTAGGTTTTTTTTTTTTTTTTTTATTTTTATTTTTAAATTTGTGCGTTGATTAGTGCTTACTCTTTTTTTGTTTTTGTTTTTTGTTTTTGCAGTAAAAGAATTCGCATGAGTCACAAGGTTAGTGAAATTATTGAGTTGAAATTGTTAATTTTTGTGTTTTATTTCTTCATTTTTGTGAACTATGAGCTTTGTGAAGTTATTGATTTGAAGAATGTTGCATTGGAGAGTTAAAATTTTGATCTGAATTATTAGATAAGCATGGAATATGGAGGAATTCAACCCACACCTAGCCAAAAACCACCTCGCCGGGCTGAGTCTGTTGCACCGGTAACTGGGTTCTGAAGGGCCTTCCAATGCCCTTGCCCTTACAGGTATCATTTTTTCTAATAAGCAGTTAGAAGTAGGGAAGGTTCAGCTTATTGTTTTTGGGAAAGTTACCTCTATTTGGGTATTCTATATTGCAATTGTAACATGCTAAATTATTTTTGTGGTTTAATACCATGTGTGTCATGAAGATTCTAAGGATGCGCAGACGAGAGGAGCTCAAAATTCTTTGGTTGTCGGTCCTTCTGCACCAAGGGCACTGTGAGTAGTTTCTTCCTTGCAGGTGTATTAATGGCTGTTTTCGTGTTTATTTAGTATTTCTATGTTGCACATGTTTCAACTTATCCCTCTTCCCATATGTATTTGCACACTCTCGGACTATGGCTTACAACTATTAGCTTCTTTATTTCAAAGTGATTGGGCTAAATATTTGGACCATTTATGAGAATCATGTGAGTGATTTGTTAAATTTGACAGTTTTTTAGTTCTAACGTTGCTGGAGTGCAAATTGTTTATTATGATTTCTTGTAATAATGATGCATTTTTATTGTGGACTGATTGAATTGTTTAATCATATTCTTTATTTCAGGAATACTGTTGGTATTTCGGGTAAAGGCACTTTAGCTGTTTCTGCTCCAGGGTCATCTGAAAGGTTTGAGTTTTGTCCTCCTCTGATTTGCTTTAAGGGTCAATGAGATTTTAAAAGATTTTGAAATCATGGTGTAGTCAAATTAGGATTTTAAAGGATTTTAAAGAATACATCCAAATCCATGGGTAGTCGATTAGGATTTTAAATAGTCCTCAAAAGTCTAGGTGTAGTGAAACTATCAAGGATTTGCTAGGATTTTAATGGGTGAAGGATTTTGATGGATTTGAGAGTAGAAGTATAAATAACAAATGTCATAAACAATCCAACCTTCACCCCTAGGATTTCATTTCAAGAACAAAGAATTCTATCTGTAGAAGAGGAATAGTCTTCCCCATTTTTGGCCCTGCGTGAGAACCCGGTGAGCAGCTCACCATCTATACATAACAGGTTTCCAAATCCTCATTTCTCTACCTTGCGTTCACCACCCCTCATCCCTCCCCGTGATCCACCCACTGCCATATTGGATGAACAATCCCACCCACCCACTGCCAAAATGGGTTTGATTTTCGTGCTTTGCCTTTATTGGATGAACAATCCAATGTCGTTGCTGGTAAGGTTGCGATTAAAGCTTGTGAGTGTTTGTTGTTGTTCAAATCCAATACAAATCATGGACGGCATTGAATTAGGATGGACAAGTGATTCCCTCTTTGATTACTATGTATGCAAGGTGTGGTGAGTGGGTTTTTGCAAGGAAAGTGCTTAATGAAATTATTGAGAGGGATTTGGTTTCGTGGAATTCCATGATTTCTGCGTATTGCAAGATGGTGTGTGCTGGAGATGCGGTGGGGTTGTTCTGAGAAATGAGGGGTGATGGATTTGAGCCTAACGAAACAACTTTGGCGATGGTTCTTGAGCGCGCGGGGACATGGGGGATTTGAGTTTGAGTACGTGTGTGGAGTGTTTTGTAGTTGAGAAGAAATTGGAGATGAATTCATATGTAGGCTCTACGTTGATTGGCATGATAAAAGTCCTGAGAAATCCATGAAAAAATCCATACAAATCCATAGAAATCTATTAGTGAAATCCATATAAATTTGTCAAACTCCATATAAGATTGTAGAATCTATTAAAATCCTTTAAAATCTGTCACTTAAAAAAGGCTTTTAAAATCCTCTAAAATCCAAGTTGATTACACTCCCCTAAGTTTCTCTAACTACAGCCTGCTTTAGTTTTTGTTTATATGTCAGAATGTAGTCCATATAAGAGAGCTATCAGTATTTCATCTAATTAGCTTACTATGAATTTTTGTCTTAGGGTTGTTAAGGGAAACATATAACTTCTTAGGAATGTTCTTGGAAATATAAAAACCAGTTAAAATATTCAAAAGAGAGATGTTTTTTAAGAGTAAAGTTTTACAGTGGTTTGAATCCCTTTGATATGGTTGAATTCTTTTTGTTTTAGGAATGCCCTTACCATTTTGCACCATCTGCATGCATTACGTGGGGTTGAAGTCGTATTAATGTATCATATGATGTGCTTCTATGGTGTTGTTAGAGTGAAGTTTTTATTAGGATTTTTATGGGATATTTTAGGGGAACTGAATATGCTAAATATTACAAGCTGCATGATGATGTATCCCATCTTGTTGCATTTTCTCTAATCCTGATAATGCTACCACGGAAAACATATCCCATTTTTGCTTTAACTGTTACTTTTCTCTTGTATAGGTTTTCAACATCGGCCATGATGGAAAGGATTTCCAGCAGATGGCCACGTCCTGATTGGCATGCTCCTTGGAAAATCTACAGAGTAAGAATAATGTGTTGTTTATGATAGACAGTTAGGAGCAGTGGGGAAAGTAGTTGGGATTATATCATCTGGGTAACTTGGAGATTCTGATTAGATGGAAATGTTAGGAACCGACATGGGAATATATGTTATATGGGTGTGTCTTTCAATTTTTGTTGTCCTTTGTTTGGCTCTTTCATGGTTAATGGGTTGATAAGATTGACCTGCACCTCTTCTATGATTGAACATGAGTTGTAACTTGCCATTATGCTATTGTCTCTTATCTGAAGAAAGGAAAAGGTTATGCATAATGTTTCTTACAAGCCATCGTTAAATTATTCCATTTGATTATGTAGGTCATTAGCGGCCACTTGGGATGGGTACGAGCTATTGCCTTTGATCCAAGTAATAAATGGTTCTGCACTGGCTCAGCAGACCGTACTATCAAGGTATGCAACTTTATGCTTCATTTGTCTGAGTTGGTCTGTCTGAGTTGTTTTCCTTCCCCTTTTTCCTGCTATGTTTTCTCATTTCCTCCTCTGTAGAAGTCAAAATCACTTGTCATTTTTTAATTATTAGTCATTTTTTAATTATTATTTTGTGTTCTCTTTTCTTGTCGTGTGAGTGTTTATTTTATGTTCTTTTGGATTGTCTTCTGATTTGGTTTATCAGATTTGGGATGTTGCAACTGGAACTCTACAACTGACAGTGACAGGACACATCGAGCAAATAAGAGGTTGGTTTCTCTTGGCTGTTCGTTTATTTTGGTTAACCATGCTGTGGTTAATGCTGTTGGTAACAATAAGTGCTTGGGTTTTTGCAGGCCTTGCGGTTAGCAGCAGGCATACCTATATGTTCTCTGCTGGAGATGACAAACTAGTTAAATGCTGGGATCTTGAACAGAATAAGGTTAATACTTCTACTTAATATTTTCAAGATCTTTATTGCGGTTGTGTTCTGTAAGTAATGATGGTTGTTACAACATATAAATTGTTGTGTAGGTTATCCGTTCATATCATGGTCATCTAAGTGGTGTTTACTGCTTGGCTCTTCATCCCACTCTTGATGTTTTACTTACCGGGGGACGTGATTCTGTGTGCCGGGTATGTAATTATCTTATTAAAATTCAAATCCTGCATACTATAATGGAGGAAGCACTCTTGGGGATTGAGCAAAGTGATTGTTGTAATATTTATCAGAGTGGTACTGTGTTAATAATACCTTTGTTTTGGTGCAATAAATCTTTCAGGTTTGGGATATTCGAAGCAAGATGCAAGTTCATGCGTTGTCAGGGCATGACAACACAGTTTGTTCCGTTTTTACTCGACCAACAGTATGAAAAACTCTTCTGTTTTCTTTACCGTGTTCTGACCATATTGTGGAGTATGCATGCTGACAATATTTTAGATCCAAACAATTCATAATGATAGCTTATATTGTTATTGATGTCTTCGTTAGAGATCGAGATTCAAGGTCATGGTTTTTCGTTGTTTAATTCTTGGTCTCCCCATCTGGCAAAACATTCAAATGTTTAGCAATTCATATTGTCATGTCCTGAGAATAGTATTATGTTTATGTTAGGTATCCTTCAGTGTCACATCATTCTTTTAAATATTTTGATTCCTGTAATCCGTAGTCCTCATTTCTTTTATATAGAAGTTAATTAATAAGCTGCCGTGAATTGAATTCACAGGCACTTTGAATTTCTAGTTTTGTGTTACACATTACATCTCTGAGTTTTTTTTGGGTTGATAGCTAGATTTCTATATGTGGAAACTCTTTTGACAGTTTTCTGGCCACTTCTCATTTTATTGTTAAGAGAGGCAATATTCCTTATAGTTTATTGTCTACTGTTTGCAGGATCCACAAGTTGTTACTGGCTCTCACGACACAACCATCAAGTTCTGGGACCTTAGATATGGTAATTTATGTTCTGTAAGTTAAACTCATTTCAGTTTTGGTATTTCCTTCTTTTTTAAGTATCAATTTTCATTTGTCTTAGGAAAAACAATGTCAACTCTGACGCACCATAAAAAGTCTGTGCGTGCAATGGCCCAGCATCCTAAAGAGTAAGTGCCAATTCATGTACTTAGTACTTCACGTGTAGTAAATAATCCTGGTTGTGTTTGTTATTATGCCCCTGTAAATTATATGCTTTGCTCTTTCTAATTGTGTTCGGTTTTCAGGCAATGTTTTGCATCTGCATCAGCTGATAATATTAAGAAGTTCAGCCTCCCAAGAGGCGAATTTTTACACAACATGCTGTGAGTATTTGAATAGACCGTATCTTTTCATATCTGTTGTTCCTGGAATGATAGATTTACCATTTGCTCTTCTTTCCTATTATATGTCTGTGATGTTTTCTTTATTTGAAGAATGACAAGCGATATTAGGATTGATGGTTCGTACGTTTCTCTGCTTAAGGCTAGCTAGGTAATGTACTTGTCATGGATAAATAGTTGTGCCAATGTGTCTTTGTGTTTGATAAGATGTTGCGCTCCCTTTTTCTTGTTCTTTTTTATGCACACATTCTCTTTGTGGCAAGTCAATTAGGCTGCTCAACGCACAGGCACCATAACATCAGCCAAGATGCAATGCAAAACCTCTGATTTGGAGCGTAATAGGAATTGTTTTGCTTGCGATGGATCCATTGAAACCGAAAACTTACACATGGTTCACCAATTGAACAATTTTGAGTCACCAATTGAACAATTTTGAGTCATAAGCATATGCTGAGGTGGTTTGTGTTACTACTTGGATGTGCGTGTTATTGTTTTCTCATCAGTTATTAAGTGTGTTATATAATTCAGATTCATGGCCTGGAGAAATGCATGCCAAGCCTTGTAGTTGCTTTCTACTCATGCTATTAGAATTTTAAATTATTAGTGGTGTAGCACATTGAAATTGCAATGGATGTGATCTGTCTTGTATGCATTTAGAGTTGGGTACCTTTTTCTGCATACTGAATGTATCGTGAATCAAGTATATTGCTGATTAATATTAACTATATGAATTATTTGGGATATTTTTTATCACAACGTTCCAAAAATTTTCCTTGTGTATGGACAGCTCTCAGCAGAAAACAATAATCAATGCAATGGCTGTCAACGAGGATGGAGTTATGGCCACTGGAGGTATGAATTTTTTACATATGAAAGGGCAATAAGGGAAGGATCTTAGTTTGTTCTCATTTTATTTCTCCCCACGGTTGGGGAAATATATTAGTTCCAACATTTGCCTACCAATGACAATACGCCATATGGGATGGTTTCAATTTTCTTTTACAAATAAACGACCCGAAACTATTTTGATTCCTATTTTTCGTTTCATAAAACTTGGTAATTCTAATCTTTTGCGCGTTTGTTTTATTGAAGGCGATAATGGGAGCATGTGGTTCTGGGATTGGAAGAGCGGTCACAATTTTCAGCAATCCCAAACAATTGTACAGCCTGGTATGTTTATTCTACTTTTGCCGTTGATTGTAGCAAGAAGGGATGCTAACCCCTAGATATGCTTTTATTACAGGCTCGCTGGACAGTGAAGCTGGTATATATGCTCTTTCCTACGACATCACGGGTACGAGGCTGGTCAGTTGTGAAGCCGATAAGACTATCAAGATGTGGAAGCAAGATGAAAATGCCACTCCAGAAACCCACCCTCTCAACTTTAGGCCCCCGAAAGACATTCGACGGTTTTAGAGTTGATCCTCCGTCCTAGTTTCTCTGTTCACCGACGTAATATTATCTCACATGTGATTTGACTTTATTATTTTAGTGAGGGGTCCTTGCAGTTGCGCTGCTTGTTGCTATGAGATAAAACTATACAAATTTTTGTGTTATATTACTCATGGTTGAATATGTTCCTACGATGCACCTGAACCAGTTCCAGGAAGAATTTATTTTGAAGCAGTGGAAAACCTTGCAGTTTGCAGTGTATAATTCTTGTGTTTTTCTTGCAACCTTGAAAAATTCGACACCAACAATTTTGTCTTTGTCTGCGATGCAATGTTGTTCATTTGGGTTTCAAAACCAATGCGGTGCGTATCATACAAGTCAAACTCGAAATCTTAGGTGCAAAATTAAATACATTTAACCAATTGATATACAAACTTCTTGTTTTTTCTTAAAAACTTAAATCTCGGTTTTTACAAATTTCTCGCTCTAATTTCACATTTTCTTTTTCATAATCAATGAGCTTGTGCATGCGGCAACGCTACATTCTTTCCCATCTCCAAGGGAAGAAAAATGTTGTTAGGTTTAGGGGAATTCTATTTAGTGTTTGGAGGCCACCTTTCTACTAGTAGAACAGAGGTTCCTACTTTGAGAAGACTACAAACTATGGTGGTGCTATCCACCTACCCATTTTTACTTCTCATGCAACTCTTTTAATTTTTTGTCGTCGAATGAAATGAATAGAAGAAAATCAATCGACAAAAGTTTATAATGGTATATAAGAGGTAAAAAGACGCGTAAGAATAACACTATTCATAAAAGCAGCCTTTAGATCATGTTTCCAAGTGAACACTTGGCACTTCTGTCATCTGCCACGTGGTACTATGTGAATTGATGACATGCCCATATTGTTGCCTGAATTTTGACCATCCCACGGTAATTAAGACATCAAAACAGCCTGTCCTTATAGAACACGAACGTATTACACCATGGTGTAGTGTATTGACGCCTGCTGACATTTTATTTGATGCGAACGAATAAATTCCAAAGTGAGTCCACACATGAAACAAATAATACATTGTCATCAATCAAAATTTTATCTAAAGAATGGGGTGTGTTTGATATTGTTTTTACAAGGGTTAAAAAGTGTTTTTCGACAATTAATTGTTTTTATAGGAAAAACATTAAGTGTTTTCTATAAAAACACTTGTTGAAGAACTTTTAAGTGTCTTTTAGATAACACTTGAATTTTTTGTTAAAATTTCTACAAACTAGTAACACTAAAGTTTATAAGCAGAAGAACTTTCTACAAAAAGTGCCAATAATATGCTTACCCAACATTACTTATTACATTACCAAAGCTGTAAAACAACACACAATCTAGTTTAGTGACAAAGTAAGCAAGAAAATCCCCTACCTCGTTGCCTAAAAAGCCAAAACCTACATAGATGCACCCAACAATCGCGCGCCTTAGAACGATTATCCGGCCAAATTTCATGCATGAAAGTCCCCATTTACCCACCACTTCCACCCAAAAAACTCCTCTCCCCATCCCCACCCACACTACCCCTGCCTCCCTCTATCCCTCCCCCCCCATGCTCCTCTTCTGCCCACCCTTTTCCATTTTCATCTCTCCAAAAACTTCCCCATCAAAAGTCTGAAAACTAGACAGAAATCCAAGTGAAAATTATGGCCAGCAGCTCCGATAATCTGTCATTAGTTCACAGAACCCACCATAATCAACAAATTGACCAATCACAACCCTTTCTCGAACCACAAACCAACCACAAGCCTCCGCATTCCTCCACCAACCCCATTCGATACATGCTCCGCGAGCAGCGTTTTATCTTCGTCCTCATTGGCGTCGCCATCGCTGTTTTCTTCTTCACCACCTTCCTGGCATCGAACCCACTATTGGAATCCGTTCACGACCCTGGTCTCGAATCCGGATTAGGTTCTGATCGGCCGGGTATTGATCTCCCGGCCAACCCTACCCGGAGGGTGCTGTTGGAGACGTGGAATGTGGGAGGGAAGGTGCCGCTGGGGGTGAGGAAGAAGAACATGAGGATTGTTGTGACGGGTGGGGCCGGGTTCGTGGGGAGCCACCTCGTGGACCGTCTGATCGCGAGAGGGGACAGCGTGATCGTGCTGGATAATTTTTTTACCGGGAGGAAGGAGAACTTGGCGCACCACTTCGGGAACCCGAAGTTCGAGCTGATTCGACACGACGTGGTCGAGCCGATATTGTTGGAGGTTGACCAGATCTACCACCTCGCTTGCCCGGCATCCCCGGTGCATTACAAGTTCAATCCGGTCAAGACAATTATATCCTTTCTTCTCTTGTTTCTATTTTTATTTCTTGTGCTTATACGCATGGTTGGTATTTATTACACGCTTTTTTTTCTTTTTTTTTTTGTGATTACTATAATATTATGACATCAAGTAATGATAGGGAGACTAAATTTGTATATAAAGTTTTGAAAACTAAAGAACATGAAAATTGAAGACTGGTTTATTACTTAAACGTTGATAAACGTGCATATTCCTATCGGTGACACATAATTTAGTTTGCAAATTTAGTCTCCCTAGCATTACCCTTATGACATACTTTAACACGTAAAAATTTTAATTTCTTGTTTGTGGTGAATGTGTATTTGCCTGAGGTCCTTAATTTGTTGTCTGAGCTGGGGTTTCACAAGACAAATGTGGTGGGAACACTGAACATGCTTGGACTAGCAAAAAGGGTTGGTGCACGCTTCTTGCTGACAAGCACCAGTGAGGTTTACGGTGACCCTTTGCAGCACCCTCAGGTCGAGTCCTACTGGGGTAATGTCAACCCCATCGGTGAGTCACTCTCCCTCTCTCTGTCTCCGCTCGACCCCGACATGATGAAACTCTGCGCGAGAAAATCAAACTATACCATATTTACAAATCACATTACTGATGTTTGTTTCAATAGCGAGACGTTTAATATGTACTGTATTTACTTGGTTGCATTCCTCGCAAAAAATTCACGGTGAAATATATACTCAGCAACACGATCGGTAAATTAATGATTTCATAGATGTTTTCTGTTGGCATTGGCAGGTGTAAGGAGCTGCTACGATGAGGGAAAACGCACAGCAGAGACTCTGACCATGGACTACCACAGAGGCCTTGGCATTGAGGTCACATTATTTTCTTTCATATTATTTATTTCCTTGTCATTTGGTTATATGTGTCTCAGTTTCAAACGATTCTAGATCACACCCAAAACCTGAGACGAATATTAAAATAGTTGCAGTTAGGGTTCTAATGTATAGAATGTCATGCAGGTGAGGATTGCTCGGATTTTCAACACTTATGGACCGCGTATGTGCATCGATGATGGTCGTGTTGTTAGCAATTTCGTAGCTCAGGTGAGCAGTTTTATACTTGTAATGTTGTTTTAGGCCTTGTTACATATTTTTCCCGACCAGTTTGATGTCTCTGTGGAATACACAGGCATTAAGGAAGGAGCCATTGACAGTTTATGGAGATGGCAAGCAAACCCGAAGTTTCCAATACGTTTCTGACTTGGTACTATAATTCTTCTCCTTTATTCCGTTAATGCACTAATTAAGTATGAATTTCTAATTGCTATTTTACATTAATCACGTCTTTGTCTAAATTAGCATTAAGGTCAAAGGTGGTTATAGACTATTTTGCCACTGTTTTAAAGTGAAGGTTGTATGGGAGTCTTTGTATATACGAGTCTCTGTCACTGCAGCATATACATTTAGGGGTGGGTTCGGTACGGTTACTATACCAAAACCCTTGTACCAATTACCGTACCAAACTTTTGGTTTGGTAAAATCTATTACCATTACCATACCAAACTTTCGGTATACCGAAGTTCGGTATTGCCAAAAGTTTGGTTGGCATGGTATGGCAAAATTGCATTTTGTTTTGGGACAAAATATGTTTTTGTTTTTAACCAATCAAGGCAAAACTTTTTTTGTACTTTATTCATATTATTGTAGAATAAATAGTATAATTTGCATCAGCAGCAAGTATAAAAAAAATCCCCAGGCCAAGTACAGTACAATGGCTCTCAGCCCATCCTCACTTGGATCCAAGCCTTCATCTCCGCCGCCACTATCTCCAAACGTCTCGCATGCGCCTAAATCAGATGGCAGAGGGCCGTTGATCAGATTCGAACCCGCTGGGCAACTCGCAAGAGATCAAATTGTACAACAAATCAAGAACCCGAAGCACCATGGCGTTGAAGAGCGACTGTGGAAGCGACTCGTTGAGGGGATTGTGGGAAAGATCGAGATTTTGAAGGTGTTCGACCATACCGAGGTTGGCAGGAATGGAACCCAGAAGCCGAGAGTTGGGAAGATTCAAACCCACGACTCTGGGGTAGTTCTCCGGCGATTGGTGTTTACTGCGCCGCACAAACGACGCATCCTCCTCTTTCTCTACCTCGAACCAAGACCTTCTTGCTAGAGGTAGTAAAACCTTCCCAGAATGCCAAATCTCGAAGCGGAGGTGATCGCGCCGTCGCCGACGACTCTGCTTGCTACGAACCGTTTGGTGGACGAGATCTGCAGCAAAGGCTTTCAGCGAGACCAGAACTTGTAGCTCGACTGGCGGAGCCACAACTTGCCGTGGAAGCTGAAGCAGCGGACGAGCAAAGAAGTACAGAAGCGGGTCTATGTCTGCCCCGGAGCTCCAGGTCCTTTCTCCCTCGAAGCAGACATCCTCCTTGCAGCGGTAAAGATCAGTTCACTTTCTTCTTCTCCACCGTGAGAACAATAACCACAGCTGCGCAACCAGAAGTTCAAGTAAAACTTTCATTGCAGAGAGTCGATGAGTGTGCTGAAAAGTGTGGGTTCTGTTCGAATCCGGATCGCGATTTGGATCCCTCGAGCTTTCCTCATGACAGCCTCGTCTGCCCCGTTTGTAACTCTACCTGGAAAGGTGTCATTCCCCACGGCACATGCATCATCTTCTTCTCCCAGCCATTCTCGGCCTACATCGCCACCTACCAAGACCCAACTCAGAATGTGGAGAGATCTCGTTACATTACCATGATGGAACCCATCAACGGTAGACAAGACCTTCACGTGTCTGTCACCATGTCTTCCATTAAGGTTGGTACGGTTGGACGTGGTACACAGCTTACATCGTTATCGCAGCTTGTCTGAACCTGCTTGGAGTGAAGGGTACTAACAGAGAGGCACCAAGATCTCAGCCATTAGTGCCGCCATCGAAGACATCGGCTCTGGCAGCTCCACTAAGTG